ATGTAACATGTAATATTTGAAAAGCCCGTCCATTTTTCCTGCTTTGCCTGTTTATGTTATAGGAGAGCCACGTGCCTTCAAGTCTTCACACCTGTTTGTAAATTCAGCACAGTGGTTAATGAGCCGTGTCTGTAACATGTAAGATTTATGGAAATGTCCGTTTTGTCTAATAGTATGCATACCATACAGAACTAATTTTACCTTGGTGGTTAATGAAATATAGAAGCAGAGCCGTGTAGACGACCTGTGGCTGCGTTGACTTGATTTAGAAAAAAGCGTATCTACAATTGACCATTCAAGGGAAAGAGATCGTATAACCTTACAAATCAATCTTAGCACCTTAAGACCCAGAGCAATGAATTCCCTTGGGCACAATTTTAGTCAATGTAAGATTTGCTGTAAGATTCCAAAATGTGTCTTAGTTTTTCATGTCCAATTTCTTACCATATATATGATTTGAATAGAGATTCAGCCCACATGTCTTGTACTCAGTCAAAGACATTGATGGTTGACCATGGGGCTCTTTCCAGGTTAGCTTCGAACTCCTCCTCGTTAAACCTTTTAAAAATTCTCGAGGTTATCCACTTTGTTGAAGGTTTGTGCTGTTTCAGTCCACGGTGTGCATACACGTAGATTAGGTGGTAGTCGCTCAGTCCAGTAACTCTTGAGTAACTCTTATTGACTCAGTTATTAGTTGGTTAAATCATAGAGATCACAAAAATGTAGGTCTTCAGCTGGCCCACTGTCAGTAAGCAGGTTGCAGTTTAAAACACCGAGAATTGTAGTTTTTAATTAAGATTTCTAAATTAGATGTTTTTTGCCAAGGTCGCCTGACCACTGCAGGTGAGTTGGGCATGCTCAAGCTGCGAATTAGAAGATTTTTGCCAAGGTCGACTGCAATGGCGCTGACTCTGAAATACACCGAATCACTTCCATCGACGACATACGTAAGCTTGAACTGTCTAACAACAGCTAAAATATGACTTGTGATCATATGTATCAGCAAGGCATATATATACACACATATTATGTATTTAACATGCACTTTTTTGCCTTTTCATGTTTCCTCCATGTGCCCCGATTTTGTGAAACTGATTAAAGGCAAGTTGCGAAAATGTAAATGGCTCAAGTAATGTTTACAATTTACGAATTTTTTCTCGCAGTGCTAACGCTGAGTTTTTCTATGATTTGTCTATCTTGTTACAGATTATTTATGCTTTATGTTATGTTTTGTTATTCTATTTGACATTATGCTGTTTCCGATTTGTTTGAATTTGTTTCAGTATGATTGTCTTATGTATATTTCTTTCGTTGCTTCTTTTTTTTTTTTTCCTTTTCATGGTCCTGTCCATGAACTTTATTTACAAACTATACAAACTTTTATATACAATACAATACAATGTAATAGATATATGTTACATTACCAGGGGAATTAAGTAACCCCACTTTCTCTTTGCGTTTGTATCTGATATGTTATATTCTATGCATAGTATGTTTTTAAGATCTTTGTAAAATATTGAAAAATCAATTTATTTTATCAAAAACATTCGTTCTCTTTATACATGATCCAGGACTTAAATATGGCATACAGGGCTAATGCAATCATGTGA